AAATCTGTGTGTGAATACTCTACTGGCATGGGTCTGCTCTACCTGTAAAGCAATTGTGTGTTGTGTTGTGTGGTATTGTGTTGTGTTGTGTTGTGTTGTGTTGTGTTGTATTTTGTTGTATCCCAGAGCAGCAGCAGCCACAAGACTTTGGATGTGGACACACGTTGTCCCTAGGGGGCGCAGTGTCATGATTCCCAGAGAGCCAACGACTAGAGGGGTAGAGAATTGGCCCGCCAAGTTATATTACCACCCTAGAAATAGACACAGCTTCTGACTCTAAATGAAGGCCTAGATTAATGGCTTTCAATCATTAGCAGAAGATCCACTTTTCAAATGAAATCTGACATAAAACACTAACTTCTGAAAAGCAAAAAATTTGTTGATCTGGTTCCAGTAGGACTTGGGGCATCCAGAAGTTTTCAGTGTAACTCTTGAAGTAGCTTTGTAGATTTCCAAATTGATCATTTGGAAACAAACAGTAGTTGGTGTTAAGAAGGCAACTTCCATTTCAGCAAGGTTTGTCAATTCAGGGTGGGAAATCCAACTGAAGTTATTTTTACTACCAAGGGTTTGTACACTAAACCCTTGGATAAGATAAAGCTTTCCTTCATCTGCGGCCCCAAAGTATTTGAGCTATTATACTCTGTTATACCACTGACAACATGGTGCACAAGCAGGGCTCATGCTATTCAAATGAGTCCTGCAGGTGGGACTAAAAATGTGCACCCTATCCATGGACTTCTTTATGTGTCTGTTTGCATTAGCTGGTTTTTATATAGGAGGCAGGAAAGGAAATCTAAAGGTGAGCCTGATTTGGGGGTTCAGACAATATAGGCGTTTGATGTAAAGAGGATCTATGAGATCCTGTGGGGGAAAAAGAAGCCACAAGACCTAGTGATAGGAGGAGAAATGCTGGTTTCAGGGGAGTCACATGGCCATTACTTGCAATCATTAAAGCTCAGCCAACCCTCGTATATCAGCACACTGGGGATAAAAGGCTTCTGTTTCCTCGGGGAAATAGCTATTCCATTACGCTGATAGGGACTCTCTAGAAAAGTAGGACTAAGCGGAAGAATGTCGGTATCCAACTTGCAGAGGAAAGGTTATCAGTGTGAAGCCTCAGCAGAACATCAGGCAACATCCCAGAGGCGAGCAGCAGCAGTACTGAGTGTTTAGAGCAGAGAGTCCGGCAGGAGTGGTAGGAAAATAGCACAGCAAGTT